GTCCCACACACGCGAGCACACATGGGGCTGCGTGGGACATCTGACCCAGAAAAACAACCTGAAGAATCGGACTGACATTTTAAGTGCACCTCGCAATAATCACGGGTGTTAAACTTCCTAACCTCCTAATTGCACAGGATACCAAAACTGTGATAGCTAAAAGCAAGCATGGAGATCCAAAGCAGGAATGAGACAAGCCAGTGTCTGTATTGAGTGAGAACACATCGTCTCTGTGAGCCAAAGCTGCCTGAGGGAGCACTGAACAGAGGATGGTGACCCCAAAATGCAGCACAGCTGGAAGAAATAAACCAAATAAGGGGAGAAAATGGGTGGAGATGGAGATCCTGGAAAGATACGGACATTCTGGGGAACAGTTTGACCATGCATCAGGGCTTGTGGAACTCTAATGAATATGCAATGCCTCTGAAAATATAAATATGCATGCAGAAGCAGAGGCAGAGAACTGCTTTGGGTGTTAACACCGTTCTCTTTTGTAAAATAATAAAGGATACCTGCAGATGGTACTCAGTCATTGACTGCTGTCAGTTATTGGGGGTTTGGAGCCACAGAATAGGCTGAGCCTTCATCCTGGCACCAAAGCAACGTGGGCTCTATGGGGTAACAAGCCGACCCTCCTCACCATGCGTGGCTTTCCCAGCAGAACAAGGCTCCCTACAGGAAGAAAACACAGTAATAGACAAAAAATACACAAAAGCGAGAAAGAATACTTAAAAAACACAATTAGAGTAATGGTAATAACTTTAAAAATCCATGCAAACCCTTCCCATGGGAAGAGCACCAACGACAGCCCTCTGCGCCCCATCGCAGTGCTATGAGAACAGCTCTGCGTTTTAGAACTGACCCCGCGAGCCCCACAGCGGGGGGAGGGGGGGGGTCTCTCCTCCACCACGACCCCCATCACTCACACCGGATGCCCGAAGAAACAACGGCCCCACAGGCTCCTCCTGGTGCTGCAGCCGCGTGCGCTCCTCATTCCGCCCCATTCCCCCAACAGCAGCTCACGGCCCCGAGGTCGGAGCCTAAAATGGCCCCAGCTCCTTACACCGCCCACCGTCCCGCCCCCAATGGGGGAGAAACCAAGGAGGGGGGTTGGAAACATCAACGCCCTTTGATATCAACGCCCACCGGACCCAAGCGCGCGTTTAAACCGCGCTGCTCCCCGCTGGGGTTGGGATCGCGTCGTGCTTTGCCCCCCCCAGCCCCCTCCCCACCTCCCATAGGGGCTGGGATGGACCCCCCCCCCAAATGTGGGGTTTGTGTCCCCTTCGGTGGGGCGGAGCAAATAACGCCACCAAAACGTTTTGCCGTGCTGCGGGTGGGCAAAACAAAGCGCAGCGCTTTGGGCAGAAAGCACCAAAGCCGCCCGGTGTGAATTTAACGGAAATCCCCTTTTTTATTATTATTTTAGCTTTTTTGTTGTTGTTGTTCTCATTTTCCATCGAGAATTTGGGGGTTTCCACCTGGGTAGCGTGGCCGAGCGGTCTAAGGCGCTGGATTAAGGCTCCAGTCTCTTCGGGGGCGTGGGTTCGAATCCCACCGCTGCCAGAAAGATTCTTTTGGGGCTTCCCGTAGGGAAGCGCAGCTGGAAAACGGAATTGCCGCCTCTCCCAGCCGCTCCGTGCCGTGATCTTGCACCGCCAGCCCCCAGGAAACGCTCTGGAAGCGCTGCTGGTCGCTGTAAGCTGTGGGAGGTTGGAGAAATGGGGAGAAATGCTCACGGGCTGCAGCCCGGCCCCGGCTGGGTTTCACTTTCACTTCGGTTATTCCATAAAACCTTTGGGTTTGGGCAGAATTTCTGTCTCTTTTTTACTTCCGCCACACGTTGCGAGGGATGGGAGACCCCAAAAAGAGGCTCAGGAGGGGTTTCTGCCCCCCGAAAAAGGGGTAGGGAGACCTAAAGGAGCCCATCTGAATCCCAAATAGGGGATGGGGAGACCCGAATCTGCCCCATGTTGTCACCCTACAGCCCCCCTCTGTCCCCTCTATGCCACCCCAAGTCCCCAGAGAACGCAGAGAAATGATCCCACAGCACCCAGAGCCGTGGTCCTTCCCCCAACCCTGGATCCCATTAAACACAACAAGAAAATTCCATGTTTTCATTTGCTGTTTTTTTTTTCTTTTTTCCTTGCTAATTTGCGACAATTTTTCTGCTCCATCCTCTTACAGTGTCATAAAAATAATGCAGCACCATTTTAGGATGCCATGAAAATAATGGCACGACGAGCACAAAACCCAAAGCCTGGAAGATCCCATTGCACTGCAGGTGAGCTGACGGAGGTGCTCACCCCAAAATTTCAGACCTCCCTTTTCCTTCTCTCAGGGGCAGAGGTGGAGGTGGGATTCTCTGCCCACCCAGAAGAAGGGGAAGATGCTCTCCCCGCAAAAAGAAGCATTTTGGAAAGCAAATACGGGATGTTTTTGGGCAGCGAGGTAGAAAGCCACCCGTCCCCCTCCGTAATCCAACACCACTCGAATCCTGTTGGGATTCCCACCCATGGGGAGGGCGGTTGGGGGAGATGTGAAAGCTCGGAAGCGGTTCCTACAGCATCCCACGGCCCAAATCCCATAATCGGGACGGAAAGCGAGCCAACCCTTCCTGGGCACGGAGCTGCGTGCCACCCCGAGTGCCCACGTGCCACCACCCATCACCTCCACATCCCAAAAGTGCCTCCCTGAGGTGAAGCCCCGACAGCCCAGCACACAGCAGGAGACATCGAAGCGTTGGGGACAAGGGGACACGTTGTGCCCTGTGTCCATCCATCTCACCCCACGTCGGTCCCGGGACAGGACGAGCCCCGCAGTGGCAGTGTTGGGATCCAGGGTGACAAATGCTGTTGGGGATGGAGAAGAAAGAGGTGAGCATCACCCTAAAACTGGAGCAGCACCCCAGATCTGTTTTGGGATCGGCGACGTTCCGGCTCGGAAAACCTTTGCTGAAATATGGGAAACTCCTTTATATCTTTAGGAAACTCAAAACCATCATTTTCCAGGTGCTCTGAAGCAGCATTTTGGCTAAAAAATGACCAACGGAGCCAAAGGAAAATGCTTTCTGTAAGGACTCACCCTCTCCCTCTTCTCCTGCGGATGCTCCTTCCTCCTTCTCCAGCTCAGATGGTAAAAGATCTGGGGATGAACAGAAGGTTGGATGTCATGTCCCACATCTGCTTGCTTCAGTTCCCACCGTGTTTTTTGTGGATATCTGTGCAGGATTTTATATGGGGTCTGTGGGATTTTGTCCTAAAAGACAGATGCTCTTAGGCCTAAAAATGGTTGATAGCGCGAGTTGATGCAAATTGTTTCCAGCAATACAACTCCTATTATAAACAACAACAAAACCCAAACTTTAGTGCAGATCAACTTCTACGTGGTAGGAATATTGTGGTTCATAATACCTTGGAATCTCCCCAGCGTCTCCTTGAGGATTTTATTTTGCTGGGAGATGACACGGAGCCTCCGTTCCACATCTGCAAAGTTCTCTGTCGTCCTTTGAGTTCTGCCCATCTCCCACCTGGACACAAACCTCATCAGTGCTGGCACTGGTGGTCAGGTTGAGATGTGGGGACCTCTGGCGATGTGGGGATGGCAGATGAAATGGTTGACCCCAAAATGTTCGTTTCTTACAGGTTTGGGGATGCCAACCAGCTCCATACAGAATGCAGCCCCTTGGGTCGCCCCAATGGCCATGAGGTCTTTTTCTTGGCCCATTCCTACATTGGGATCCAGGGGGACTTTCTGTTCCCCATGAGACTTCCAGCCTTGCCCAAATCACACACTTTTCTCATTTCTGTGCTGGAATCCATGGGGGTGGTGATGGGGAACCCTTCCCACCCCACTGCATGAGGTTGAAGGAGCACAAACCTGTTCAGCGTGCTTCTGGCATCCTGGAATTGAAAGAGATGAGGGGAAAAAAAATGGTTCAATCTCCCCCAGCTTTGGAGAAGACTGGACAAGAAGGGAGAGGATCCAATGGAGCATCCAACCTGTAGGAATCCACGCGTGGGTCGCTTGAGTTTCTCCTCCATCTCACAGATGAGGATGCTTAGAAGAGAAATGTCCCCCTGCACCTTGGCCTCCTCCTCCTCCTGCCTCCTCAGCACAGCCCTGTCCAGCTCTCCCAGCCGTGCCAGAAGCATCACCTCCTTCTCCTTCAGAAAACGGCGGAGCTGACGGAACTCTGACGCAATTTTCTGCCTCTCAGCCTCCGTCCGTGTCTGTAGGATGTGGAAAAGCAACAACATGGATCCCCCAAAATGTCTGTTTTTCCAGCTTGAAGGCAACAGCTTCTTACCAGAAAGTCTTGGCATCGCCTCTCTCCGCTCCTTTTGAGTTCTAAGAGCTCCTTCCTTTGTTTCTTGAGGTTCTCCAAATGGCTGCAAATCTGCTCCTGGAGGAAGAAAAAGGAGTTTGGGGAGGATGTTGTGGGGGGAGAAAGAAGCGAAGAGATGCAATGCGTTGGGTTTTGCAGAGAAGAAGTTTGCAGCGTGGACGTGAAGGATAAAACAGGACTTTAGGGGATAACACAGGGCTGACCCCGTCCTCCTGCACAGACTCCTTTATGGGGGCTCCAGTGGGACCTCCATCACCCCGAGGTCCATTGGAGAGGAACGTCCTCTTGCGCCACGAGCAGAGCTTCTCCTTCTCCCCTCTGTCTCCGTCCAGCCCCAAAAGCTTCAGCTTCTCTGCCAGGTGCTCCAAGTGGAGCTTTGTGTGGAAATTCCCTTTCCTGAGGTGGTTTCGGTGGCCGATGACCTCCGTATCTCCGAGCCGTCCTCGCTCTGGCCACGCTCCACCTCCACCTCCATCGTCCATCCGATGCTCTGGGACGGGGTGGTGGTGGTGGCCCCCCTCTCCCTTTTCCTTTGCTCTGGAAGCAGCAGAGGCCATGGTGGTGCGGTCTCCAATCTCTTGCAATCCCCCTTTCCCCGCCCTGGGGTGAAAATACAGAAAGGTTCAGCATGGAAGCAGGATTCCTTCCCTAATTCCTTCTAAAAGTTGAGTTTTGGGAAGGATGAATCACTCACTTCCTTCTGCTGCTACCGGTGTGGGCTTGAACCAAAATTTAACCCCTCTCCTGGGCATCTGGCCTGAAGTTCGTCCTACTTAAGGCTCCATCGTGCAGTTTGACATCTCGGATCGGTGTCTCCAATCTTGGTATGGAGAAAGGAGAAGGATCCAATCATCCTACCCAGATTTCAACCCCCAAAATATCAAACTCTGGCCTTCCTACCCAGATTTCAACCCCAAAAACTTGAATTCTAACCTCTTTTTTTTGCGCCTTCTCTTTGCAATCTGACTTTGGTGCAGCCTTCCCAAGGCTCTGGGAAGCAGCCTGCTTTGTAGGAAGAAAGGCAAGGGGACAGCCAACAAAACGCTCCTTTCCAAGGCTCATCCTGAAGGTGGAAACCACCTTCATATGCCAAAAATCCCCCAAAACAGAACACAAACCCTCCCAAAAGCACACCTCCCCCCCTTGATAACAGCTTGCTCCCTACAGGCGGATGATGGAAAAAGTGCAGAAACCCAATTTTAAAGCTTTTCATAGAACTCTGGGAGAACTCAGGGCGACGTTGACATCTCCTGTTGCCCAAATGGTGCCAAATAGCCCCAAAAAGACACTCACCGGCAGGCAGCAGAACAAGATCCTTGCAGATTTTTAAGGGCTGTGTGAGCTCAGACGGATCACATGTGGGACAGGGGGAAATATCAGCCCTATTTAAGGAAACACAGAATGTGCTGCCTGGAATCTCCCTGCAGATCCGTGTCTCCATTGTGGAATTTGGCCGGATGAAGCTTTGGGCTTAAAATGCTCCGTCATTGTTGGCCATAAGGGAAGATATCCTCCGTTTCCAGGAGAGATGGGGGCATTTGCAGCACAGGGCTCGCTTACTTCGGTCACCACAGCACAACATTCACCAAACTGCTTTAATTAAACAGCTGGGCAGCTTCTGAACTCATTTTTCACCTTTTATTTCCCCTTAGCACAGGAACCCCTAATTGCAATTTTGAGTTGCACGCAAACCAACCACCAGCTTTACCCCACCTCTGTGCCATTTGCCACGCTGATTGTCAATTAAAATATATATATATATATATATATATATATATATTAATTAACCGTTACTTTTGCCCTTTGACAGAGGGAGGGATGGCATTCTGAACTGCTCCTTTAGCTGCTCCAACCTGAAAGCTGTCAGACAGATTACGGTACGTCCTTCCCCTCCCCTTTCCCCTGCTTGGATCCTCTCCTGCCTCCCGTATCCCATCCCTAATTGCTGCAATAATGAAGGTTCCCGACCCAACGAGCTGCAGAAAGAGAAATTAAACCCGCAGGGCTGAGAGCTCTGACCATCACCCGCAGGTGGGAGATGTTCACAAAATGGGATCCATCTCAAATTTGCCCCTTTTCAGCAATAGGTGGAGCAGACGCTGCCAAGGAAAGTCTGTGAGCTGCAGAGGGGCTGAAGAGCCCCGCGTGGAACCAGGTGGAGAAAGAAACAAATGCTCCAGAGAGTTTCGAGTGGTTTATTGTGAGCTGGGAACCACCAGCTGCCCATCCCACAGCGGGGCAAAAGCCAAGATTTAATTATTATTATCATTTTTTTTTAAACCAGGTGGCCAAGAACACGCAGACATTGATGAGAAATCCTATGAAAGTGCAGCGAAAGGTGAAAACCAAAGTTCCCCAAGTCTTGGGGTGGCTTCAGTGATGTCCGTAATTGCCTACCTCCTATTTCAGCTGGGCCCACAATGGTCTCAAGCACAGGTTTGACTCCTCCATGGGTTTAGAGCTCCCAGTTTAGGCTCCCTAGCCTTGCTAGAAGCAGAGCTGCAGGGTGTAAGCCACCCCAAACCTTAAAACCACGTGGCGTTGTGGGTTTGCACCCCAGAGCTTCGTGCCAGCTTGCTCTTGGATGAAGGGTTATCCATTCTCCCATAGGACTCATGCATTCCCCAAAGTCTCCTGGACTCTGGTTGGAATCAGATCATCTTCCCAAGCCAAATCTCAGCCCCATTTCATCTCTTCTGAGCACAGATTTCTCCTTCAACAGCTGATGGAGAGAGACGGCCACGTGGATGGCAGGGTGCATGTGTTGCATTTTGCTTTTTGCACTGAGAGGAGGCAAGCTGCCCACCAGCAGAGCTTCTCTGCAGAAATTTACACCAGCAGCTGAGACAAAACACCAGCGGTGATGTAGGCAGCGACTTACCCTGGTGCCCACCTCTCTCCATCAGGCCAAAGAGGCCCCCATCCTCTCTGTGGGTCATTTAACATCCCTAGAGGTTGGAATTGCAATCAGGAGGCACTGGATCCAGAGTAGGGGCTGCTCATAGAGTCTCCATACGTCAATGGGGGTCACCATACGTCAATGGGGGGGGTCACCTCATGTCAACAGGGTACCCCCATATATCAATGGGGGCCACCATATGTCAATGGGGGGCACCAGACATCAACAGGAGCCACCCTATATGTCAACAGACGCCACCTCATGCCAATGGGGGGCCAGCAGACACCAACTGGAGCCACCCCATACATCAGTGGGAGCCACCTCACGTCAACAGGGGCCACCATACGTCAATGGGGGTCACTTAATGTCAATGGGGGCCACCTCACCCCAATGGGGGGGCACTGGACACCAACAGAAGCCACCTCATATATCAATGGGGGCTACCTCTCATCAATGGGGGGCCACCATACGTCAATGAGGGCCACCTCATGTCAATGGAGGCTACCTTACATCAACTGGGGCACCTCATGTCAATAGGGGGTACCAGACATCAACAGGAGCCTCCCCATACATCAATGGGAGCCACCAGACATGACACACGGAGGACGCTGATGATGTTGAGGATGAATTTCCTTTCCTTTGCATGACGACGGTTGGTTGGGAAGGGGGAGAATGAGGTTTTGATGCTGCTTTTTCCTGAGAGTTTTTCTACCCTGGTCTCAAAGAGCTGCTGTAAGGCACCTCTAGGGATTCCGGGGTTATGGGGGCAGCGAGAGGGAGCCCAGCTCCAGCCAGAACCACGGCCGGAGCCGCTCCCCACCGAAGGAGGTCAGAGGAAAAGTGAAGATGGGGATTTGGTTCTCGGCATCAAAAAACGCCACCTCACCCCATTCGTAGTCCAGAGAGATGCGGATCTTTTTGGGAACCCTTGGCAGGTTCAGTGGGGTCGGAGGGGAGGTGAGGGCTCTGTTCTTGTACCCCCATTGCTGCACAGCCCAGATCCCTTCGTCAGGGTTAAAGCTGATGGCTCCTTTCCTCGGAAGGGACTCCCTGCTGACCCCGACGGCGCAGTACTGCCCTTCTGTGACATCCACCACCCAGCAGTGCCTCCCAGAGGTGAAGGTTTCACAGCCCAGCACGCAGGGATCGGCGTCGAAGCGCTCGGGGCCGTCGGGGGATTCCTGCAGGCTGTATTCCCATCGGACGCTCTTCTGGTCCTCGGAGAGGATGAGGCGAGGGTGGGCCGTCTCTGGGTCCAGAGTCACATTTACTATGGAAAAGAAAGAATTAAATCTATCTGACTCAACTCTGCTTGAGTCCTAATAGGGTGGCTCGTCTCAAGGCTCAACAGCTTGATGTTCTACTTCCCCTACGCATAAATGGGGTCTCCAATACCTCCACAGAGGCCCAATATATCCCACCTGTCATCCCACCTACATGTCTAATCTGGATATTCCTACAGTGCAGACATTTAAAGGACACGAGCTCCTGGATGGGGTCTGCAAGCAGAAACCCAATGAACCAAATGACTTACCCAACTTTTCTTCGCTTCTTCCTAAAAATGCGTAATAAGAAGAGGGGTGATTAACAGTGACACAAACTTAAAATGAAAATGGTGCTGAAAGAAGGGAGAAAAGGGCACTCACTGTGTTCCTCAAAACATTTTCCTGAAAAGAAAAAAGAAATTAATTAGTTTTTTCTTTTTCCAATTCGCTGAGGAAGGCTGGAAATTCATGACCCGTTTTTTGAGCACTTGTGGGCTGTTTCTGTGATGCTGAAGTCCATCTTTTAACTGACACAGGGGTTAAATGAAAACATGAACCATTCTTTAAGCTGTAAGGTTAAGCCTGATGGACGTCACGCTTGATGGAGGCGTGAAAAAATTCAGTGTTCCTTTCCTGGGAAAGTTGTAATTAGTCCCATCACATAATTGGGTATCGGGGAGATGATTTATTCTGAAATTTCTCCAATTTCAGACCGGTTTGGATGCAGGTTATCAAACTGTGCCTTCTCATCTCGTGCTGCTCTATGTGTAAATCTCCACAGCTGTCCCAAAAGACCCCAAAATCTCTCACGTGCTGGAGACGAGGAAGGAGAAACTCACTTGCTTTTGCTCTGTAGTGCTCTGAAAAGAGGAACAACAGAGATGGTTGTTATCCTCTTATGTTGTGACTTCCCACGATTTGGTCTCAAAGCAAACCCGTATTTCTGTGCTTTGCGACTGTTTGCTTTATGGCAACTCGTCATGAATTATCATAACGACATAAACACGTGTATTATACATGAAAACACAAATAAAACCAGCGTTATCACTGGGTGTGAGTTATAATCGCGACTCACCGAGCTCTGCAGTGAGTTCATCTGGAAACGTGGGGAAAGAAATACAGGATTTCCATTAAGTTTGGCACCAACACGATGGCACGGATCTTCCCAACACACCAAAGTCCATTTCTGGGGGAGGAGTTTGACACTCACCAATTCTTCTCTCTTGTTTTTCTGAAGAAAAGGAGGAGAAAAGGAAACCAGAGTTGCTGTGACACATAGGTTGTACATCCACCTATGACATATATCCAAAAACAGAGTGCAAACTGCGTGCATTGGTTTTGCTGGAGGGCAGAACAACACTCACCAACTTCTGCGGAGAGTTCACCTTAAAAGGGAATAAAAGCAGTGAGTTTCATTCCTTCTTACAATTAAAGTGAAAGTCACGATTTCACACTCGGGATCCCTGAATTCTGACATTCCATCACTGGGGGTTTTTTCCATGGTTAACCTGAAAATGGGACCTAAAGCAAATGGAGACTAAAAATGCAGACTATTCCCTTGTATTCTGTGGATGTATCGTTGGTGGATACGTCACTACTAATGGAATATTATGGATTTTGGGTATTCTTAGGTATCCAAGCATCCAAGCCCAGAGGAGAACACAAGATGGGACCTGACGCTGTGTTTGGGTGCCTGAATCCTCCCCCAAATTCCATCACAAACCAAATCCTCAACCCCATCAATCCCAAAGGTCACCACCAGGCTTCTTGAAGGCACCACAAGCACAGGAGGTGGACACGCACCGATTTTGGCATCGTGTTCTTCTAAAGAAAGGGAAAAAGAGAGGAAAAAGAAAAGGAAAAATCTGTATTTCTGCGTATAGAAGATGAAGAAGGGATAATAACTGTAATAACTGAGTATCAGAACAAGGGCTGCTGCAGAATTCCCATCCCATCAGCATGCTTAGGGGGGATTCCTTCAGCCAACAGGTTCTCCAGCAACAGAAAGGCAACGATGCTCACCCCTCTCTGGATCGCTCTCCTCTAGGAACATGAAGGGAGTAAAAAAGAGATCAGAATCCAAATCACCCCCTATTTTCTGGGGGGGCAGAAGAGGGGGAGGAATCTCACTTACCAACTTCCCGGCCCCTTAATTCCTCTGAAGAGAAAAAGCAAAATGTGAATCACCTTTAGTGCCACAGATTACTGCACCAACTCATCGCCACCCCGCCCCTGTTTTCCCTGCTATTCATCCCAAAGATCCTCTTTGCCCCATTCCTTCTGCAGTTCTCTCTTTCAACACCAAGAGACAAAGCAGGGAAACACAACACACACACACAAAATACCCAGCATCAGTTCTGTGGGAGAAATGGAAGCAACTCACCGAGCTCTGCCGACAGTTCCCCTTAAAAAGGAGAAAACAGAATTGGGTGCCATCCCAAGGATGCTCAATGGGTCACGATGGGGAACTCGGGGACACCAAACCCTCTGAGATGGGCTGAAACCTTCACAATTCTGCATTTTTAAAATGCTTCCATTCCATTTCCCCATTCCCCCCCCCCCAAATCATTAATTTTCTCCTTCCGCCCCCCACAAACAATTCCATCCCATTTCCCCTTTTGCCCCCAGATGATTCCATTCCATTTCCCCTTTCCCAAATTCCATTTTTTAAGAATAACTCCATTCTATTTCACTTCTTCCCCCAATGTTTCCATTCTATTCCACCTTCTCCTTCCAAACAATTCCATTTATTCCCATTTTTCTCCATCCTGCTCCTCTTTCTGTTGAAGTCACTCCATTTCCAACAACACAAAGCCCCAACAGGGGCAGCAATCGTGGTGCAAACATCCCCAGCAACTGCATTTCTTGGCAAACCCAAGTGCCACTTACTAATGAGGACGTCCCGTTCTCCTAAAAATTAAACAGAAAAACAAAGAAAAATGAATAAATTTCATTTCCTCCCATTTTGCCCATTTCTTCCCAACGCGCCCGGCGGAAAAGAGTCACCCGGCTTTGCACATAAGCAAGGAGATAAATAAATAAGGGCATTTCTCTTTCTCTTCTTGTCTCCTGTGGTCTCAAAGAGGAGATTTTGGGGGCAGACTCTGGGATTTTGCCTTTCCCATTGGGGGGAATCACAGCTGTGGGGCAAAGAAAGGGACTTACGGGCATCGGAATCGCGGTCCTCTGCAAACAGAAGGGAAAAGGAAGCATTCATTTCCAGGAAAAATAATAATTACTCATTTCCCAAAGCACTGATTTCATTAATGTTGTGTTTTATACCCTCTTTCCCCCCCCCCCAAAAAAAAATACGTTTTGTTTTGTTGCTGGATTTACTGATGGAAATTGATGCACTTACCAAGCAGCTCAGTGAGGCGCCCTTAAAGCAAAACAGGGAGAAAAAGGGGGGGAAAAAAAAAAAAGGAAGGAAAAGGAAACAAAAAGAAAAGAAAAAGTAATTAAAAAAATATATATTAGTTCAAAACAGTGCTTTTTAACACCAGTTATACAGAAATAAGGACTGAGACACCGATGCTGCTGGGCTGAACCCAAAACAAAGTGTTGACCATCACCATTCAGGTTCCCACGTGGAACCCAACCCATTTCATGACCCAAAAAACTCCATTTTTTATGATTTTTTTTTTCCCTTTTCATTCCCTTTTCAGCAAGGAAGTGGAACTGTTTCCTTCCAGCCCCAAATCGCTGTTTTTTTTCTATGGGAAATTCTCTACTCAGAACATAGGATTTCAAGCACTCCGCATTTGAGTTAAGCCAAAAAACCCTCAAATCATTGAGTTTATTTTTTATATCGCAGAGGAAGAACTTTTCCATCATAGAAGAGAGAAGAAAACACTCACTTATCTCTGCTTCATGTTCTCCTAAAAGGAAAAAGGGGACGAAGAAATAGGAATTACTGCTTTTGATCCACACTGCATCGCTGTGCTGCTACTGATGCTAAGATTCTTGGGTTATTTTATTCCTTTTTAAAATGCTGCTGATGCTAAACATATAAAACATAAAAAAATTATAAATGTGTGTATATTGGATTTATAAAATTCACGTTGTGAGGATGAAGCCCAGCACAGCCCCATGGCTTTGGGGTGACACTCACTGATTTTCAGATCGCGTTCCTCTGCAAATAAGAGAGAAATAAAGAGAAATCAGGGCCTGGCTGTGCTCAGCCCACAGCACAGACATTCAGGTTCATTTTGAGGTGGATTTTTTTGGCTCAAAATCTGCGTTTTTGGGGTCTGTTTATTCATCCGAGCCTTCGATTTGAAATGTGAGTCTAACAGAAATTGCCCCCGTCCCATTCAAAACTTCAGAGATGTGAAAATAACCCCAGATCAATCCAATTGAGCTGAAGGAAGAAG